CCCTAAACCCCAAGCCCCAAACCCTCAACCCCAAACCCTAAGCCCCAAACCCTAAGCCCCAAACCCTAAGCCCCAACCCCAAACCCCAAGCCCCACACCCTAACTCCGTGAAGATCGCAGGGCCTTCTCGGGTCCCTCGAAGGAGAAGTCGGCGGCCTGATGCTTCGTTCCGACCAAGACAAGATGCTTTCGGGTTGGGGTTTAGGGTTAGGGTTAGGGTTAGGGTTAGGGTCTAGGGCACCTCAATATTGTTGTTACCATTCGTGGTGGCGCTAGCATTAGTGTTGTGGCTAGTGCTAATTATTTGAGGCTAGTGTTGCTCTTGGTGTTATTCATATTACTACAAGTCCTCTACTGTTGACTTGAGACCGGTATGATCGTACCATGAACCTCATGGTACAATATCTTGTCATATCCGGTCATGTCCGACATCTCAGAGTACAACATTATGTCGTACTTAATATGCTGGACAATGTGGTACTATACTGCCTTATGTTGCATTATACTGCAGTAGACTGTATTATGTTGTATCAAGCGGCTTGTTACACATTATGTTTCTTGATTAGAGTCGATTATGCAATGCTATACTCAGACACATCTGTAATGTGTGTGTGTGTATATATATATATGTGAGAGAGAGAGAGAGACTGCACTGCATCCATCTGCATCCTTTCTGCAACGATGAAGGCCCAAAACTTGAGCCCACGATGCCGCACCGCAACTCATCTTTAACCAAAAAATGTACCGGGCCTGGTCCACTGGATCCACTGGAACTTCCTCTTTGCTGGCGGCCTCCGAAACACACTGTTGGGCCTTATACAGAGGCCTTAACAGTTGGAATAGGATGTTTACCATATAAATAGTCATACGGGGACTAATTTAGGGGAAAAGTGTTGCTAAATTGTTTGCAAGCTTTTAAGACTTTTTGTCAGGGTCTCGTAAGGGATTGATACAGGTTGCGAGAGGGATCGAATAGGTTTAATGGTCTGCGGACATTCAAGCTACTACTACTATACTATTACGAAACCTACTACGAATACGAATACTAATACCAATACAAGGCTGTAGGGTATAAGCTTGACGGCCTGAGGCCAGGCCTTTCGGGTTTTGGCTCACTCTGCGGATCCACTGCCAATATTGTGCTGTAAGTGCTTCCGGTGGCACAAGGTTTCGGGTGTGTTTCGCACCACCCCCACCAACAACTGGAGCAGCTTTCCTGACATCATGCGGCAGAGCTGCGGGAAATCCCAAAAGCAGGAGTAGCAATAGCAGTCAATAGCAGTAGCAGCACATTTTCTGACTTTCGACGTCAGTCTGGGCTTGTCCAGACTACCCCTCCAAACCCCCCCCCTCTACCCCGCCCTTCAGCACCCAGGCAAGAGCCAAAAGCACAGTGTGGGCCCTTTCGACGGGATCTCATGCAGCATATCCTCCGTAAGAGCCGTGAAGAACATGGCCCGCACGGTGCTTCGGCACTGTCATGCAAAAAAGCAGGCATGCCAGAAACTTAATCAGCGAGCAAAAGATCTGGGGAAAAAACGGATTTGTGGAAGTGAACACTCTCGGAGGGCTGGGGCTTTTACAACTATATTATTTGGGGCTGAAACCTACTGTCCACCATGAGGACCCCTTCATTCTTGCACTCCATCAAGGGATCCCTCTGACGGGGGAGGCCGGTGGTCTAATCAGTGGTCTGCATTAAGGGATTCGGCTCTCCGACGGTGCCCCTGCCTGGCTGGCACTTTTGCTAGCCACGCCAAGCTTCTCACAAGCCTTTTTCACGTCCGCTTCGAGTTGCGCCCTGTACCTGTCCAAGCATTTCAGCTTTTCGGGCGCGTTGAGCCTCCTGAGCACAAAACTATTGTTAAATTGCACACTGCACCCTGTAATCGTAGAGTGCAAATTATACAGTTCTGAGGATGGACGTGTCGAATCTTGCGGATCTGAGACGTTAGGTACGACGGGTAAACCCACGACCCGAATGCCTTAAAGCATGGACATAATGTAGGGGCCTCAATAAGTAGAATAGGGCTTTGGGGTAACATTCTACTATGCTTATAATAAGGAACTCCCAAAAAAATATAGGTAACTATGAAGGCCCCTATAAAACGCGAAAGCCAAAGCATGGAGGTCGCACCTCTCAGCGGCCTTGGAGGTGTAGTCCGCAACGCGACCAGACGAGGAGAGTTTACCCATCTCGTGGCCCTTGAAGTACTCCTGAGCCTTTTGGGGGGTTTTAGGGACTTTTTATCAATTAGGGTTTAATTCGGGCTTATGGGCTTTAATCAAGCAGTGTTTAGGGCTTATGGACTTTAATCAATTAGGGCCGCCACCGGCGACAATACTAGCAACTCATACCTGGAACCGACTTTGCATTCGTATCAAGATTACAATTCTGTTGCCACTCTCAGCTGCTTAACGGTATATCATGTCTTCCGTCTTTGTTCTCAAGACCAACAATGATTATCGGATCACTGTCAAGACAGCAAATGCAGTTGTGTCGACACAAACTGCTGCAATCGGAAATGGAGACTCAATGATTGGAATTGTGTAAGTCTTCTACGAGCGTAACAAGGAACCAAGGAATACTATAGTTAAGACTCCTGTATTCGGCGAGATTTTGTCCGCGTCTGTGATAGGCTCATGGCTGCTGAATGCCTTTGACCCAGTCTCACCCAGGAACTTTAGAGTACATCACCTGCAAACCCTAAAACCAAAACTTCGCTAAACCCTAAACCCTGTACCCTA